GTGAATCAAGGAGGAAATTAAAACAAAGGAAAAATACTTAAAACAACAGCTTCCAATCAGACACTCCGCGGCTTTAAATATAATATCCTGTTGTTCTGGATCTGACACATTTCTTTAGGTTTGTTATTGATTTTAATATTATTCCAAATAATTCAACTTTCCTCAATTTTCTCTAATAATATCCTCATTATTTTTGTGTTTAAACTAGGGAAATTTGCATTTTACTTTTCTGCATCCACTCATAATTTGCTGCAGCATCAATTTAATTTCCTGCACCGGGGCCAATAAAACCTCCGTGCATCCAGAGCTCGGCTTCATCATAAAACACCTCGCTCTGCCTCGTCACAGCCGTCGCTATGTGACAATAAATCCACATCTCTGACAGGTTAATTGAGGTGCAGATAAATGAGGCTAGTTCCTCTCTTTGGCCAATGGCGCCATCATCATGATTTACAACAATCTTTAACAATTAAACCCCGTGAAATCCTTGTTGTGTGACTTCACAGCTCTAAAAGCACCAACTTGAGGCCTCTGATCCTGCTAAAAGGAACAACAGACTGGCAACAGGGTTGTTTACTGGTTTTGTCGTCCTGTTCGCACTAACAAGAGGTGAGCTTCCAAGTCTGAGCCACAGGAGGCAAATGGATTTTGATATGGAAATGGCAAGTGCATAGATTGATCATTTTTGCCATTTGAATAATCAGCTTAGTGTGTGGTGAGAGTGAAATGCATGGGGAGCACGCTGTCACTAATATTATAACACACAAAGGTCATCACTTCAGCTGAAGCACTCGGGTTCATCTGATAATTTATGAACTTCACTCGCTCTTTGCTCACCAGCTGTCGACCTGAAGCCGGCAGTTACAAGTGGCAGCTGTTGAATTTCATGGCAAAAGAAACGAGAGGACGTAACAGCGCTGAGTCCAGTCACTCTCTGCTGTTTGCGGTTCACTAGAGTTAAGATTCTCACTCTTCAGATTAATGACCAGACTTGGCAGCTTCATTTTGGGGCAAATGGGCTGAATCTTCAGCAGCCTGCTGTGTAATCTGACTGTAAAATGAGCTTTTTTGTGTTTGTTTTTGCCTGTGCTAGGACTGTAATTATTGAGGACGGAATGTGGGAGGATTTATGTGCCTATTAATAGTTGTTCATGATGAACAATTTGGACTGGAAGGTAAATATTCAGTTTTCACAACCAAAACAGTGTCGACATTTGGTAAGGGCTCAGCGGTGGCTTCATATCTGGGATCATCCATGTATTTTGTGGGACTTTCCAGTGTTACAGGAATTTTTTTGAAAGAAACATTATCTAATGTGCTTTTTATGTAGAGGTTAATTAATTAACTTTATTACCCATCGTGTCCCATTATATTTGCTGCCTGGGCACAGAAAAAAAAAACAACAAAAAAAAAAAACATGCACGTTACCACAGTTTAAAAGCACAGACGCATGACAATCACCCGCACTGGTGAAAAATAAAACCACAAAAGATTTCATTTTCAAAACTGTGACAACATGCAAACAAAACAATTAAGTACAATACAGCAATAAACAATGCAAGAATAAAACGACCAAAGTCGAACAGAGAATCTGAAGGTACATCACATCGTGCTGAATGTTGGGACGAGGCGCCATTTTGGGAGTTACATGCAAACATTCTTGTTTTGTTTGGCTAGAAAGTTGCTTAAATTGTTTAGATCTCACTTTACCGACTGCATACAGTAGCATCTGCATCAGTAACTGTACGTAGTATGGGACAGTATTTGTTTTCAAATTAACTTACAGATGCATGTAGCGTTTATCTCTGTGATGGATAATGAGCATGATCTCCCAAAATGGCACATTTGATGGCAACTTTGCACTCTCCACAGTAAAGCAAAATGTCTCCTTAAGTAAACGTATCGCACCATAAGCTAGCAGTCAAGCCAATAACATTTGCCAAAGGTGAAAAACTACTGCAACTGGGTACAAACCGTAACTGAGATAATTTCAACCAGGGAAGTGTTACACGAAACTGCAACAGCTAAAAACAACCTTTTCCTCCATTTAGGACCCTCCAGTGTGACAACGTGCCAGAGTTCAAAGTTGCATTCAGTGCTAAAGCTTCAAGGAGTGTGTCTGGATTAAACAAATCTTCTGATAGCAAGGTTTCCATTCACATTAGCTGAAGCTGGTGAGAACTCACCCTCCTAAATGCTATTGTGACCACACCCTGACAAACACTGCATTAAACAACCCAAACATATTTCTATCAAACCAGCAGAGGAGAAACTCTGTCATGGATGACTGGTGCAGATGATGAAAAGGTTTAGAGCTGCAACATTTAACTGACTAAGTGATCAACAGAAAACATCAGACAACTCTTCTGATAATTGATAAATGGTTCAAAGTTATTTCTAGAAATGAAAACAAAAACCAAACTAGATGTTTCCCGGTCCCAGCTTCTCGTTTGTTTCTCCCACAGCTTCCTATGGGATAGCAAACCCAATATCTTCAAATATCAGGGACTTGGTTGGACAAGATAAGTGAACTGATGAAAATGTATTGGATATTTTTCACCGTTTACAGACATCTAATAGCAGCAGATTAATCAATAATGAAAACAGACATTAACTGTAACCCTAAAAACAATACTAACATTAAGAATCAATAACTGCAGTGCTGAATTGTATTTGCTGATTAATCATTCAACTGACTCATAATGAATCAGTCATTTTAAGTGATTCATCAAATAAACGATGCTTAACATTTCTAGTTTCCAGCCTCTCTTATGTGACTTCTTGCAGTGTTTTTCTTAACCTCATATGATTCCGAACTTTTCCACTGAGTTTGCCAACCTTTGTTCCAGACAAATCAAGCAATCAGAAGACAATACGTTGGGTTTTGGGATCTGACAATAGGCATTTGCTCTTATCTTCCATCATTTCCAGACTAAAACTTTAGAAGGAAAAACAAAATAAAGAACCCGGTGATTCAATCATAAGGACAGTCATGGGTTGCAGCCCTGGTGAGCTCTCTGACCAGTAAATTCAGCTGTATTGCGTGGATCACAAGGAGGACACGATACAACCACATAAAAACAAAAACAGCTCACTGTAATCTCTGACTTCATAGAAACTACGTAGGCAGTGAAACAAATCTGAGGTTTGATTGTCTAGGTTTTTCATCTCATACCCTGAAAGTAAATTTGAGGTAACCACGGCAGCTCAGTGAGCTAAAGATCTCTGTTTTTACTTTTTTTTTTTTTTTACTCCAAAAACTGCAGAAACAAAAATAGCCAAGGCAGAAACACTGTGAAATACTGACCAGCTCTTTTGTGGCTGTCATCTGAGCCTTTGAGAATTTATCGACAGAAATAAAATAAAGGTGCAGGAGCAGACAAGTACACAAGCTTTAAAGATGCAATACAGCATCAAATAAAACTGCACTGCTGTCAAACCCGATTACTTTTTTCCATAACTAATACCAGAGGACAATGCTCAATCACTGCCGAGTCCCAGCTGAATGAGAACTCATAATTTAGCTGAGCACACATTTATTCATTTCCGCATATTGCCAGGACACATCATCAGGACTCAGTGTCATCCAAAAGATGATTAACGAGACCAAGATATTCACTTCGATATCCAGATGCCTGCAAATGTATCAGTGTGTGGCTTGAATAATAACTAGATCAAACTGCAAAATCCTGTAAATCTTTTCTCATAGCAGCTCAACTATGTGCTCACAAACTCAAGCCCGAAATGTTGCTTTTGTTTCTCAGTCTGCCCATACGCAAGTACCACTCACATTAAAGCTGAATTCATAAATACTTTTTCTATATTCCCTGAAGACAAATGTCTAACTGTCAGTTAGCACGCAGGCTATGCCAGTTAGCAAACTTGATAGCTAGTCATTAGTCAGACAATAGAGAAGGCGAAAGTACGTCACGCAGTATTGAATGTTGGGATGGGGGCGTCATTTTGGGAGTATTTAGCCGCAAACATTCTTGTTTTGTTTGGCTAAAAAGCTGCTCAAATTGTTTAGATCTCACTTTGGTAATTCAGAATGAATAACTTTAGCTGACTGTAGCTAACTCTTATTGGACCTAGAGATCCCTTTGACAGGAGTGACAGACTGAAAAATGACTGCAACCTGATCTTAGCTCTCAGTTTGGGAGCTAACGCTAGCTAGCAGCTGTCAGCAGATAACACAGTCACTGCAGATGACTCAATTTCTGTTCTGTCTGTGCTCAAACTGAACACTGAAGTGGACATTTGGACGTAGTTGAAGCATCTGTCCATGTTGTTTTCATAAGGTTTACACTCCAACAGATGAGAGTTGTATAAAAATAACAGCAACATAGCTAACAAGGTAAAACATTTCCTTTGTTTTGGTTTCTTTGGTCCCTCAAAGGTCTGCATGTCAAGACTGTTTACCACTGAGTTTGCATTTTAGGCAAACTTGAAAGGTAATTTGGAGCAATTCACCTGAAATAAACAAAGTTTTCTGCAAACTGGGGTGTAAGGACTTGATTTATGCAGCATTAAGGTATATTAAGGCCATAGTTACCTGTTTTTAGGGATGTTTGTCCCTTAGCTGCACATCAGAAGCCATTACTGGTGGCTATTAGTCAGATATAACCAGTAGCACTGTTTGCACTAATTAGCTAGCTGTTTGTTAAGGTTAATTCACTTGTCTGTTCTCACGTTTCTCACATGTTTTGAAACAAACAGTATGGCTAAAAACAGTTTGCCGTGGCACAGTGACCTACATTTATTATCCTGCTACATCACACCCTATCACCACCAGTGTTGCTGGAGCAGGCCTAACATTTTATGTTATTTTTGTCCAGTTGACCTTCGTGACAGCACTGTATGTAGCTGCTGGGAGATTCTGACGCAACTGCACAAGCCCAGTACTGTTTTTGCACATACGTGAATACAGATGGACCAGCTGAGTGTCATGTGAAATTCTGCAGGGTGCTAAAGGACATGGAAGAGCAGAGGAGCTGTCATACCTTTGAGATGAGCTCATCATGATTTGCCAGGTGTGCCCGGCAGTGGATGCAGCTGTAGGTGCGGTGGCAGGTTGGCAGGTAAGCCTGGAAGGTCTTCGACTTGGTCATCTTCACCATGTCAATGGGGCAGGGCTCCTCGCTGGTGTCAGGGCTGGCACTGGAAGAGTTGCAGCTCTGCTGGACTTGCTGACAGAAGAAACACTGGAAGATGCAAGCTAAAGCCGTCGTTGTTGTGGAGTGGGTGTGTGGCAGGCTCCACACAGACACCACAGGAGAAAATCAAACCTGCAGGGGAAAAGGAAAGACAGATGTAGTGAGCGGCACACACAGATGCTCCATACTCCTATTTTTAGAGCTCACGATCTTGATTGCATTTTCAATATAAATACATCTCATTTGCTGGAGCAATCATTTGATTACGATCATCTGTTATGTGATTACAATGGCGCGTTGTTGATGACCAACATGGCTGCGTAGTGATGTAAGTTCAACATTATGACAAATCAAACAAACCTTTGTTTATGGAAAACAACATGTTTCACTTGGCAACTGATTTCTCCTTCATAGTTTAATGACCAAAGGGAGTCGTCGTCTGTTCAACTGGACACATACCTGCAGAGCGGCATTACTGGAGCTTCTGTCTAAAATAAAAGTTTTGGTGTGTTTGCCTGTCAGGAAAATCATGGCTCCCTCAAAAGACAAGCTGACCGGAGAAAAAAAAAACCTCACCTTTATGTGATTTCTCCTCATTCTGGGTAGCAATTTGTTAAATAGTGTCGCTGGACCTTATACATCCTTGCATCGTTGAATTGGGTATTTCCCCTGACCACAGCGGGAAAGCACTGAGCAAATTGCTGCTTGGCCCAAGAAAATGAGAAGAAGATGACAAACTAAGAGGCTGTGGCTATCTTCTATCATAATGCACAATGGCTGAAATAAAATAAAACAAAAACAAAGGTTCAACAGTCTCAGTCGACTGACAGGTCTCTTCACTAGTTGACTTTCATGGGGCAGCCCTAGTAAACTGTATATAAACATGGATCACATGACAGAATTTGGTTGCAAAATGTCACAAAAACAATATGGCCGCCCCTGTATTTGCAATATTTTGGCTTCACTTTTGGCATTGGTGACACACTGTCCGTCTTTATATTCAGTCTGTAGTGCAACCCAGGACTTTACAGTGTAGCGTTACTAGTTTTACTGAATAACACATGTACTTTTCCCACCACTTTCAACTGTCAGTCAAACGCTGGTGTGGGTGGACTATGACATCTTGCATCTCTATTGCCAATAGGAGGTGCTATTCATCTGTTCAGAGTGGCTTTACCTCTGTTCTCTGCAGAAAACAGTTTCTGTGCATTTTAGGATCATATCTTCCAAAGCACAGACCAGGCAGTAACAAACTTATTTGAAGGTGTTAGGGGCTGTTTATATTGTAATTATGTTTCAGTTAGCCATGCTTTGTCACCTGATACATCTTGTCATTGATCATTTAAGTGTTTAAATAGAACAAAAACACCATTTTGCACACTCTTTTTCTAAAATATATAGTCTAGTGCAGCCCCGTGGGCTCAGCAGTCACTCACTAACAAAGGTTGCAACTTGTAGCAAAGAAAAACAAACACACACACACAACAAAAAAACCTGCATCTGAAAGTGAGAACACAATGAGAACGAGTTTCAGCGGCTCTAGAAGTTTCCAGTTGAGCTTTGTGTGTTGCAACAGGAAGAGCAGTGCCCAGACAGAAGCCAACAGCCAGACGCAAAAACAAAGGAGCTTCCGCAACTCAACAGGACGCAGCCGTGACGTGATGTGAAGCATGGCTGCTCTGCAAACACAAATAAACACATGCATACTTAACATGGCTGGGAGGGTGAAAACTGGCAACTCAACTACCCTGTAGCCTTAGACGAGTCAAATTTACAGTACACACATCCTGAATAATCTGCACAGGTGCCTGAGACATAATCCCTGCATGAAAAGGACAAAATGCCCTTTCTGAATTAGTCCAAACTCTGGTGGCATGTGCATAGGGAAAAGTAAACACACCCACAGACACACAGGAGCTTTGTAAGTGTGACACTTGAGCGTCATCGCTGCAGTGATCAGAGCAGCTCTGTGCACTCGGTGCTTCGTTAGAGAAGGTGCCACTAACGCACAGCACACAGACAATAACATGTCGTTATTTGCATTTAGCCACCCCCTCCCCCCTTCAATACACAGACGGACAACATGACATGGCACACACACCTTACTTTAGTCTTCATAAATGCCAAATAAGAACAGATAAACATCACCCTGAGCTGTTTGTTTGTTTGTTTTGGTCTAATGTGAAGCCAAGTTTCTGACAGCACATGGTTTCTTTGTGTTCAATGTGTATGACGTTACTTCAACATGTTAAGTATGTTTTAAAAGACTTTAAAACGGAGTTTGAAACCCTATAAATTAGCCGTGTTTTGTTTCGCCCCTCTTCGTTACGTGGGAACGGGTCGTATTTTAATCGACACAGTTTTACGAATAAACGCCAAAAAAAAAAAAAAAAAAACTTATTTCCAAAACGGAAGCCGAGTTGAGTCGACTGGTAATCCAGTAAGAACAGCTGATGTTCAAACTGGGTAAAGTGGAAACAAAGAGGCAGCACACTGCGCGTCTCTGGCAACCTCCAACAGGAAGAAGTGCGTCCAGACAAAAGACTCGCTCCCAGCACCACCGAGTCCAACCACTTAAACAACATATTCACAACACAACGTGCGTTTTTACGGGTATTTTTTCATCTAAACTGGTTAATCTCGGCGTTACGGGCAACCTTCAATCCTCCTCTTTTCCCTCCACCTCCTCTCCTAATGTTTATTCTCAACAAAGAGCACGACGCCAGCAGTGTCGCTGCGCTGCCTGGTTTTATTGTTTGTTTTTCCGAGTCTGATGTGAATCCAGCACGACACACGACACTTTTTCATTTCAGGTTTTTTTCAGACAAACATGTTTCTGCTGCTGTACTCACCACCTGGATCAGATCTGAGCCAAACGCAGCTTGGTGGAAAACTGCTTGCTGAAGAAAGAGGTGTTTTTCAGCTTGTTTTTAAAGTTAAATTAATGTTTGTCGTCGTCCCAGGTTCTGGTCCATGGGTGATGCTGCCGGATGAGAACTTACTGTCGGGTCCTTTGGGTGCTGACGGGTCTCATTTTTCCCAACACGGGCTTTTGTTGTGTCTTTTGTGTGCGTGATGGACTGGCCTGGTTACTTTGGTACGAAACGTTACCACGTGGGAGGGAGATAGAGCTCTGACTGACAGAGCGACTGGCCAATGACTGGCTGCGCTGCCTTCAGTCTCCCGTGGGAAAGATGGAAACCAGGTTGGGTTTTTACTCTTTAGGGATTCTATTCCCTATTGCTGCATTGTATTTGTGACTATTTTTGTATCAGAATACTCTGTAGATACCATATATGAAGAGTTAATATTAGTGCTGCAGTGATTACTCATTTAATTGCAACAAAATTAATATATTTGACAAATGTCAATCTCAGCCAAAGCTTCCAAACATTTCATAGTTCCAGGTTCTTAAATGTGAGGATTTGCTGCTTTTGCCTAGATTATATTATGACCTACTATGTTAAATATTTTTGGACTGCTGGTCAAAGAAAATAAGACATTTAATGATGCCACCTTTGTTCTATGACATTAAGATGATTATTTTCACTGGTTTCTGGTATTTATAGATCAAACAATTAAGCAATTAATAAAAGAAAAGTCAGATTAATAAAAACTATTGTTAGTTGCAGCCCCAGAGTATATTGTAAGTTATTTATATGGCACTTTAATTTAGTTTTTGACTATTTGTAAATAGTGGTACATACTCAAAACACAGATTTATGTGTCTGTTCCTGTGAATTATTTATCACAAGCAGCAAATGAGATCATATATCTTGGTTTCAGAAAGACAAAGCTCTGATAGGTATTGCGTTGTGGCTGAATGGATTATTTCCCATGCGTGATGAACGCGCCACTGAGGGAGGAGGGAGGGCGCAGATACCCGGATGTGTAAATAAATACAAGATGAGAATATGAATCTGATTCCTCTTCTTTGTCTGATATTAAAAATAACAATTGCTCTCTGTCATTCTTGATTTTCCATCTGTTGCTCTTCATTAATCAAAAACAGGGTCTCGTTTGGTTTCATCTTTCACTCAAATTACCAATCGTGTGATCAATTAGACTGTTTTCACGTTAACTGACCTATGGACTGATTAAGTGGCATTGAGGAGTCCTTTAAGTTTTATAACGATGCCAAACAAAACAAAACCATCAATCTGATATGATCCTGACCCCATATGGGAGAAGAAACACGAGAAAGGTCAACTTAACGTCATAACCCAGCAGCAAAGAAACACTAAACGAAGATAAGGATGACATTTGAATGACACTGCCTTGAAAACGACCACACAGCTGTGTGAGGTTTTGCGCCAAAACAAGCCAGCCTTTGTTGGTTAATCTTAGAAAGAGGCCAATAAATTCTTCGCTTACTTCCTTAAAGCCATGTGAGGTCAAACTGACAGCCTACCTATTATTTATTTTTTAAATTGTAAATTAATAAACAAAACAGCAGCCCGATCGCCCCCACCTCCTCCTCCTCCTGCAGCACTGTTTATGACAGTACTGCATCGTTCTAACATTGAACCGAATCACATCTGTAATACGATGCTATGAAAGATTACATGAGATACAAAAAGCCTAAAACAAAACATGAATCTGGTACCTACCCTCAAACAAAAGCCTGCCCTCGTCCTACCCTTGCTGTCCTGACGTCGAGGACGTGCGTCAGCCCTAAAGACTACAGCAACAATTCATGTCCTTATTATTTATTTATTTATTTCAACTGCCTTTCTCTGAAAAACAATGCTGACACCGCAGAACGGTCACGGTTATGTTGAATTTGCCAGAAAGCATTAAATGTGTCGCTTCACCATGAGAGGAGGATGTATGTAAACATAACATTGGGCACTTGACTGCAGCTTCCTTCAGAGGTGCAGGCTGCGCGTGCGCGTTACAAAATCCATCCTTTCAGCGT